CAAGGACTCGACTTCAAATTCATCACGCAGATAGTTGATTATGATTTGTACATCGGAGTTAAGAAATTCAGTCTCGTGATGTTTTTTTATTATTTCATGCTGTTCATAATTTTTGAATGATTGATCTTACCGGTTTAACCCACTCTGAACGTGAATCCAATGTATCATGCTCTCGTCTACAGGGCCGTTTTCGTTTAAACAGTTGAACCGGTTGGAAAACAGTTGTTCGTTGATTAAAAAAGGTCGGACCTAGTAGTCTAATGCTGCTTTCGGGCGAGCCTTGACAAAACCTTGCAAGGCCTACATAAACATTTGAAGGTCCGCCGGGATTTTTACCCGAAAATGTTACATTTAAAAAGGGACAAACCGGTTGTTCCACATAAACGAACAGGCCCCAGATTTCATCAGTTTCTTGAAATTCCAATTGGTAGCATACATTTCTCGATACGGCATGAACAGCTTTCGTAGCTTTGCATTATGAATACTATTTAGATCGCTAGTTGGGACGTGTTGTCTAGCTTGGCAATAGTTCTATTTGAATGTAGAGGAAGGACATGCTGAGAGGGGAGGGAGTTGTAGCGTTGGCCTGTAGTTAAAACGCTTGGAAGCAATGGGTTTATAATAACTAAGAGATCGGTGCTTTTTATAACTGAAGTACGGTAACAGGTTAGTTTTGTCGGACTTAATGGCACCTATCTCCTTGTTGGACTTACAAGGGATTCCCGCCCCACACCACTGAAAATGTCAATACCAGTCACTCAGTTAAATGAAAATCAATGATGTCCCCATTTGCCCCCAATGAACTTAAAAAAACAAATGTGATTCGAACTCAAAACTTATATTAAACAAGGGCAAAGATATAACCAAATTAATGAGATTATAAATTGACATCGTTCAAAAGGTAACATTCACGAAACCACAATAATGGCACCAGTATTTATAATGGAAATCGTGATACCTGGTATTTGGGAAAAAGGACTTGATTGTAAAATCAACAGCAACAGGCCACACCAGAAAATGATCGCAGGGATGTTACTATCAAGAAAAGATAAATTCGTGATTGTAAAATCGAAATCGTCCAGCTTGTCAATTGTTTGTAGGGGACTGATATGAAAGTGTATCTTGTCATTGATTTCAGGTCCAGAAGGGTATACACGATCGACGTAGTCAACACATTTATTGTTATTAAAGGACAACATTAAAAGGGAAATCAACGTACCTGTTTTAACCAGTTCTGATCATTTCTTCAATTCATCGAGTGTGAAATGAAAACAACAATAAATCGGTCAAGCGAGGGCCAATGTTTGTTCCCATGGGAATGCAAACAGACTGATGGGAACTCCAGTCACCGACTCCGGAAAAGGTATTGTCAACCAGGAACTCAATCATTCTCACAATTCCATCCTCAGTGTATTTCATCTCGACCTTGGTCCTGTTTATAGTACGTCCGTGGTTCGAAATTCAGCTAGACAATGTTTGCAGACATCGACCACATCCATGCCTTGTCTGCAGACAACATATAGATAGCAGTGTGTGGTTTGGACATCGGGGTCAAGTAATGCAGACTTTTATTTTGTGGTCATTTTGAATATTAATCTCGTTTTGTCTGGTATACTAGTAGTCTTCCATAGAATCCGTATCTAGAAACTCATATTTCCCTTTTATTGCTGGAGTCGCTCGACACTTCTGAACCGTCACGAAAGGCTTTAGTAGCTTTACATTTCGGATAATATTTAGATCCCCAGTTACTACGTGTCCGGCTGCCATAGTTTTATGATTAGTGTTATACTGTCTATCATCATAATTATCACCGTATAATGACTGTAATAGTCCCTATTATATCATTGTGTTTATAGTACTTTATGGTATGATGCGTGTATTATTATTATTCTCTTATGTGTATGTCTGTCCATGTGCATGTGTAAGTCACTATGTAAGGGTGTGACCATGTTTGTGAATGCATTTTCTTCTCTTTCAATAGTGTTGAATTGTACGTGTATTGTTCGTTATTTCTGTAACTCTTCATTTCTGGAGGAAATAAAGGAAATAATAATAGTTAAAAAGATTAGGAGCTCTGAGGTTAGATTCAATATTGGGGTACATTTGTACCTGAAATACTGTGTTATGCTGTTATAAAGCTTGGGCGGTGTATGGTATTACTAGCACTGATGTTAAAGGCATCTAACCCCTCATTTGCAAATTTGTCTTCCATAAGTAACGTCTTTGACTATTCGTACAATCGGGTTAAAGAGTCGAATTTTCCCTACCATCCGTATGATGCAGGTGTAATCTCAGACTCATATCTTGTGAACATGTATTCGAGTTACTTCTAATAACTTATATTTGGAGGTACACATTTCCAGTATATTTCATCAAGTTGATGTATGATTGTGTTTGCAGCTATTGTAAACAGTTTTCAATACTATTTTTCTGCCTAGCTATACGCTAGAGAGGTTTTATCTCGTGTCTCCACACAAATGACCGACGCACATCTGCCTCCAGGTTATACTATTTATTTACATCTGTATGACGATCTGATTATAAATGACCTTTATACAGGTCCGTAGGGGGTGACAAAACATGTGGTACACATGGTGTCACGTGTCGGATCATCCTTACAGTCTGAGCACTCTTAATGACGTCACATGCATCAGGCGTACGCGTACTGTTACCGAAGTAGGTATGATGCATGTAGTATTGGGTTCGTAGTGTTAAGTACATCTGTATGACGATCTGATTATAAATGTTGGTAATTAGATCCATGTTGGTGACCTTGTACATTGCGATACAGTAGGACCGTAGGGGGGGGATGACAAAGCATGTGGAACAATCCTTACAGTCTGAGCACGCTTAATGACGTCACATGTATCAGGCGTACGCTATTGTTAATTATGGTCGGGTACACAGAGATAATGGGTTTTGTAAGTATTGGGTTCGTAGTGTTAAGTCCCCCCCCCCCCCCCCCACACACACACACACACACCACCCACCCACCCACTTTTTGCTCAAACCTTTCCCCCATATCCATATGATTAAAATTGACGTCGCGAAGTAAATACATATTTCCATTTGTTGAAGGCCGATACATTTCCTATCAGATATCCAGCTGTCCTTACTATCACTTGAAGATAATAAGTGCTCTGCGGTATTATAAAGAACAATGCGCTGAAATCTGGACTGCTCCCATCTGACAGACGATTGCGTCGGTCGTGTGATAGTCACAAGGTTTGGGGTCCCCGGGGTCAAGTGTATACCTACCACACATAGCTCGTATATCTTACATCAGGACAATGTTTTTATTATGAGTAATATCATAGTGAAATGAAAAAAAAAATTATTATCTCATTTTTCTTATGTCATAATGATCAATTAAAAACCTTGTAGAAACATTAGCCTAATGCGTCATGCGGTTGAATTGACATCCAATTTCATTATGAAACTGAAACGCTCGACGCTGCGAGCTGATATATTATTTTTCATTGCGATAGTGACTTTTCTCCTGATTAAACATTTCAATGGAACCTCGTTATTCTTGACACTTTAGATTATACGTCAGGAAAAGCGTTTTTTTAATGAACGAAACGGACAGTTCAATCTAATTGTATTAAATTCAACGACAGTTTTCAATAAATACTTGTATACACTTCGTGCCAGGTGAGCTAATAATCAGTACTTCAAAACTACGATCAAAGATATAGTACATGTAACATGGTATTGTAATAGGTTGAATAAACGTTTGTATCGGCATCATAGTATCTTGGTTCAGGCGGTGGTTACACAACGGTTTTCTAATACCGTAATAATAATATAATGATAATTTGAGGTTCTTATTAACCGTTTTATCACAACCTAGTTCGTAGGTCGTCTCAAAGCGGTTCACAAATTATTATCCGTGGTTATAGGGCCTTTTGCAACCAGCCAATATCTTTCTTAACTCCCTGGGGAGCATACAGCTGGTGCTGCCATTTCAGCGCTCACAGCTAGCATTCTACAATTTTACAGCCAGGTAGCTAGACTGGAACAAGCGGAGTAAAGTATCTTGCTCAAAGTTACAACACAGTGCCATGTGGTGACTCCAACCTGCAATCATTCGGCCACGAACCTGGCGTCCTACCAATAGATTACCGTACCTCACAACCCTTCGGTCATGAGCCCGACGTCCTACCACTATACTACCGTGCCTAACAACCCTTCGGTCATGAGCCCAGCGTCCTAGCTAGCACTGTACATGAGCCCGGCGTCCTACCACTGTACTGCCGTGCCTCACAACCCTTCGGTCATGAGCCCGACGTCCTACAACTGTACCACCGTGCCTCACAACCCTTCGGCCATGAGCCCAGCATCCTACCTAGCACTGTACTACCGTGCCTCACAACCCTTCGGCCATGAGCCCGGCGGCCTAGCTAGCACTGTACATGAGCCCGACGTCCTACCACTGTACTACCGTGCCTAACAACCCTTCGGCCATGAGCCCGGCGTCCTAGCTAGCACTGTACATGAGCCCGGCGTCCTACCACTGTACTACCGTGCCTCACAACCCTTCGGCCATGAGCCCGGCGTCCTAGCTAGCACTGTACATGAGCCCGACGTCCTACCACTGTACTACCGTGCCTAACAACCCTTCGGTCATGAGCCCGGCGTCCTAGCTAGCACTGTACTACCGTGCCTCACAACCCTTCGGTCATGAGCCCGACGTCCTACCACTGTACCACCGTGCCTCACAACCCTTCGGCCATGAGCCCAGCATCCTAGCTAGCACTGTACTACCGTGCCTCACAACCTTTCAGTCACGAGCCCGGCGTCCTACCACTGTACTACCGTGCCTCACAACCCTTCGGTCATGAGCCCGGCGTCCTACCACTATATTACCATGCCTACCAATAATAACAGAGACCTTCGGATAACTGCAATTCCAAATAAAAAGTTCTCTACAAATTATTCAAGATTTAGTGATCCAAGCGAACTTGGTTATATCTTGGAAATATGCAAGTGTGAAAGACCCAAGGAAGCTAAAATTATTGTATGAAAATTGGTTTATTTTGTTGCTGTGAACTTGACATTTGAACCTAAAAGCCTAAAAGGTAATCCAAAGACAGCTTTTCAGGAATTTAGAGTATAATTGATCCAAGTAAAACTCAAATTATTGTGTAATAACTGCTTTTCTATCAACAGAAATTGATGATTTTCTATTAACAGAAATTGATGATTTTCTATTAACAGAAATTGACACTGAATTATCTTTTTGGACACAAAAAGTAATACAAAGTTAGTTTTTCTGGCAAGGAAGCCCTGTTACAAGGAAGTCTGAGTTAAATTGTACTGAAACAAAAGTAGATAGATTGACACGCATTGCTTATTATCTCCCCTAATGTTCAATACGGGAACATGTACAAGACAGTTGCCTTTCTCTGAAATGTTGTATTCTAAATCTTGGAATATGGGCAATAGGATATAAAATATGACTAGTTGAAGTTATTTGCAAAACCTGGCAAGTACATAAATATGCACAGCAAACAAATTATTCTCTTTCTATAATAATCATTTTAATATTTACAAATTATTTACACAAACCACGGAATTAGATTAGATCTATCTAAGTCCGTGCACAAACATTTCATTGATAACAGCTAAGATGAGGTCGGGAGATCTGGTTGCTGACTTCGGTTCTGGCGGTCTTTGTTGAGGGCATGTTCTATCAGCTTGTCCATGATTTCACTCTGAAATTTCTCTGGGACAGGTCTTTGTCCTGGAACAAAACAATGAAATCAGGTAAATCAACTCCTTGCTAGCTTCGTGCACAGTACCAAATTATTTAGATGGATAGTTGGATACACAAGACGATACACAGAAAAATCCATCTAAACTAAAGATATGAAAATTCTTTTTTTTTCATGCACATCTACATATGATTTACTTTCACTGTGCCAAGTTATAAACAAGAGGTCCATTGGACCTGTATCGCTCACCTGGTTTTATATTTAAGTCATTACAACTGAATGCATTAGTACATCTTTATAGGAAATTTCCTCAAAACCAGACAAGATCTATGTTCTAACCCAACTGGGACCACAATATCTGACTTTCAAGTTCAACTAATCAGAGGCCTCCATTGAGTTGCTATGTTAACAGATTTTGAAATAAGTAATATGTCATATTACAGGGTGTAATTAGACAATACTTTAATTTTCATTCAACTATAAGCTTTTATAAACCTAGAAACCAATTTTTAACAATTTATGAAAACTACACCATAGA